TTTTTTTTTTTTGAGATGGGGTCTTGCATGGAATTGAGCTCACTTTGTAGCCCAGGCTGGCCTCAAACTCCAAACTATCCTGCTGCTTCAGCCTCCCAAGTGCTGGGATTACATGGCATGCGCCACCACACCCAGGTGGTACTGCTCAGTAGACCAGCAGAAATCAGCAGTACAATTATCCAAGCTACCCTGTGTACATACATATATATTTTGTTTTTCCTTCTTTTTTCCTTGTCCTCATCCCAGTTGTTCCCTCCCTTTGAACAGTTTCTTTCCCTTTCACAGTATCCACTGCACCGTTCAGATTTTATTTACTCTTACTATGTCATTCAGGCTGGCCTTGAGTTCACTATGTAGCCCAGGCTGGCCTCGAACTCACAGCAATCCTCCTGCCTCAGCCTCCCGGGAGGTGGAATGTCAGACATGTGCCACCATGACCGGCTCCACTTGCCTTTTTCTTCTGTTGCTCTCAGGCTCCTGCGCACCACAACTGCTCTCAACAGAACCAATGGTGGGCACCACCAGTGCTGCCCTAACATAGTTACCATCACCCTCTTTCCAGTGACATCACTCTCTTCTTCCCGTGATCCCTGAGGTTGGAGCTTCTGTAGATCTCTTCCAGACCTGCTGGTCTCAAAACCTGAACTGCCATCAACGCTAACGTCTCCCAAATCTAGTCCAGCTGGTTCATGCAACTGCTTATTAAGCCCCTACTCGGATGCTGCTGAGACAGGTACGTATCGAGGCCAAAACTGAATTACCTTCCCCTGAACTTGTTCTTAACGGGTCCGGTCCATCTCCCAAGCCGTCCTCGGCCCAGAATACAGATTGGTATTTGCTGAATGAAATATAAATCCTTGCTCCTCTCTCATGCTCCTCAGCCAAACACCACGTCCTGTCAATTTTGCTTCCTACCATATCCCTCAACTCGGTCCCCTTTGCTTCTGTCTTGAGGCTGGTTAGCCCTCTGCGTCCTTCATAAGGCTTTCCGGGTCCTTCAGCTCCTGTCCCGCTGGGATCTTGCGAACAAGGAGCATCGTGAAAAGTCCGGCCTGCCGAGCTCGGACAGCGCCACGACACAGGGAGTCCGGCTCCATGTGCCTCACAGCCCCGCAAATAACAGCGCTGGTAAAAGCAACAGAAGCAAATAGGTGAAAGTGCTGCAGATGAGCCGCCTAGTAGACCATTCAAGCCAAGCTGAGCTGTCCGGCCCACACCTCCAGGCAACCGGATCTACTCTCAGCACGCCCCACTCGCGCGGCCCTCCCGACAGCCAATGGAAAGTTCGCAGAACCAGCGCGCTGTACACAGAGGAGCCAATGGGCGCGCTCTGAGAGGAGTCCCAAGGTCTCCTCCCGCCTCCTCTGCTCTTCCAGCCAATAGGAACAGCCTGCGTGATCTCTCGGGGGCGGGGCAGTGGCGCCAAGTCTGGCTGGGCGGGCAAGCCTTTGCTTTTTCGCAAGTGTGGGGTCCTGGTGGTCTCGGTGTTGCTCCTTTTGCGTCCCGCGGACTCAGCATGGGGGCTGTGCGAGCCAGACGCTGCCTGGAGTACCTGATGGGCTTCTACTTTCTCTCCCACATCCCCATCACCCTGTTCCTGGACCTGCAGGGGTTGCTGCCGCGCGAACTCTACCCGGACCAGGTGAGGAACGGCCGATCCGTAACGGTCGCCGAGTTTGAAGCCCCGCTGCGAGCGGCCCTAGCGCTCTGCGCCCCCCGGGCCTCCCGCGTCCCGACGCCACCTCGCCCGCCAGGGTTCCAGTTGTGTCCCCTCCCACCCGCCGTCTTGGGCTCTGCCCTAGACTCCGCGCGCTACCGACCCCTAACTTGAACATCTGTCCCACTCCTAGGGGATAAACGTTTTGTTCCCCGCGCCTCCTCCGGTAGTGGGGATTACACGTGGGTCCTTTGTGCTGACTGCATCTCAGGCCCTTTTTATTGTTTATCTGTTTTTGAGATAGAATCTCGCTAAACTGTACAGGCCGAGCTCGAACTTGAGATCACTGTACTTCAACCCGGCAGCTTTGTTCCCTTTAAAATCATGTCCGCCCTGACTGTTTAAGACTCCCACGGTCGTGCCCGTGGTGAGTTTTCAGTGGTTGAAAGAAGCACCCTGGATTAACCAGTGACTACCATCACACGTTGCATTCGTTTTGACGTTGTTTTTTTCAAAGGACTTTAAATCCCAAAGGAAAAAAACATCTGAGTAAATTTAGGCCTGTTTCGAGGTTGAGCGTCTAGAGTGCACTAGACACCCCCAGAAGAGTCCAGAGTGCACCACCATGGTGGTTGCTGCCCGGATGCTCCGGGTGGATCATCCCCGCTTCCACTGCTGGATCCAGCAATGTTGGAAGCTCTGGGGTGAAATAGTGAAGTCTTTTCACATCGACCCTTTTCATTGGGTTTGAGTAAAAACGATCACCTAAAGGTGAAATGTCCCATTTCCTGGCTGCTGTAGATCACTGTTTGCCCGAAACTTGTGTGTTTATTTTGTTTTTGAGACATGTAACTTAAGGCTGACCATGAACTCTGTGTAGCCCAGGCTGGCCTGTTCCATACTTCTGTCTCCTGAGTGCTGGGATTTCAGCATTTGTCATCATGCCCAGCTGCCCCAAACATTGTGTACACACACACACACACACACACACACACTCAGCCAGGCATGGTGGTGTACTTTTATAATTTGAGCACTTGGGAGGCTGAGGCAAGAGAATTGCCTCAAGTTCAAGGCCAACCTGAACTACATAGTGAGACACTGTATTTTAAAAATAAATGCTTTTTTTCCCTTCTGTTCTCTTAGTTTTCCTTTTCTCTCTTCCTTCTCTTCCCCTTCCCTTGTTCACCTACCATTTGAACGTTTTGTTCCTACTTCCCAATGTCTATCATTCATTTTGGTCCCTATTTACGGTGCATCTCACACAAGAGAAAACACAGCAATATTTAAACACGTGTGCAATTTATTTCTCTTAAAAGTATGGTGTTGAGTACATTTATCTCAAAATGTCCCAAGTTTATCCTTCTGTATGGCACAGTAGTACTCTATTATATATATTAAAATAATACGTTTGCTTTTTCCATTCATCCCTTGGTGGGCATCTAGGCCGTTTCCAAGCTTTAGCGACACAAATTGTGCTGTGCATATACTGCCGTGGTGACGCTTTTAATCAGGAAGATACCAAGAAGATTCAGACTAGCGGGGTCAAATGGAACCCCTGGTCCTAGGTTTTTGAGGAATCTACCCTGAACCCAACAGTGGTTGCACGAGTCAACACTCCCACCAACAGTGGAGAAGGGTTCCTTTTTCCCCATAGTCCCAGGGATTGAACTCAGGCTCTTGCACTTGCCCGAGAAGCGCTTATTCCACTGAGCCATCTTCTCGGCCCCTCCAGCATTTATTGTTGATTAATTTCTTGGTAATAGCCATTTTTTCATGGTGAGATAGAATCTCATTAATTTGCATCTCTTGAATGACCAGTAATGTTGAACATTTTTTCATATATTTCCTTGCTGTTTGTACTTCTTCACCTGAGAAGTGTCTTCATTTCAGATGCTCACTTTTTGGGGGGGTCTGATTTGAGGGTTTTGGGGGGGGGTTGGTGGAACTGGGGATTGAACTCAGGCCCTTGCACTTGCCAGGCAAGCGCTTATTCTACTGAGCTATCTCCCCAGCCCCTTGAGTTCTTTAAATATTCTAGATAGTAGTTGTTTGAGGAAGACCTGTCTCAGCTTTTCTCCCATTGTTTGGGTCAGTCTTTACTCTGTTGGTGGTTTCTTTGCCTCCATTCTATTATGCTTCTCCAGCCTATTGGTAGATTGAGAGCAAGACTGACTTGTCTGCCTGAAGAACTGATTTTTGCCAGTTTTCCCATGAATGCTTTTTCTTTGTGGGGAAGCATCCTAATCTGAACGTCATGAACTCCCAGTGCTGTGTGTAAAATTGCAAGTGCCCCGTGCTTCATGGGAGGGTATACAGCTTTCATTAGCTTTTCCAAGAGCATAAGCCCCCCGAGAGAAAGACTTGGCTGTTGCTCAACAATGTACTCCCATCCTCATAAGTCTTTTTGTTTTATTTTGTTTTTTGTGGAACCAGGGATTAAACTCAGGTCCTTGCGCTTGCCAGGCAAGCGCTTATTCTACTGAGCTATCTCCCTGACCCCCGTAAGTCTTTTTGTTTTTGTCTATTCTTATTTTTTAAATTTTTATTTATTTTGAGACAGAGTCTCAGTATAGCAGCCCAGGCTGGCCTTGAACTCGAGGCGCTTCTCCTGCCTCAGTCTTCAAAGTGTTAGGATTACAGAAGTGTACCAGCCTACATAGCGCCTGCCTGGCAAGTGTGAGTCATGGAGTTTGATTCCTGGTACTGAAATAAATAATCAGCCTTGACAGAAGTGTACCACCATGCCTGACTTTGTTTACTTCTAGAACCTGGAATAACTGGAAAGACCTCAGGTCTCAGGTCTCCCTTTCCTCAGAAAAAGTCTAGGTAGTATGTTGGCAAGAGATTTGTACTGCACTCAGGGATTTGGTTTGTCACAATCTGGCTGCATGTCCGGCACAAGTCAGGGTTCTGTAGCCTCCCTTTTCAAGTAAGAGTTTAACCTCTTAAAAGTTCAAACAGAAACAACTTTTTAAAAATCCTCACAAATTATCACGAAGGTAATGGTTTAACCTAGATTTATTTTTTTCACAAGTGTGAAGGTCAGAAGTTCAGAATTAATTTAGAGTGTTCCTGGGTCTGGTTCCTTCCTACAGTTCTATGGGAGATCCTGTCCTCGTCTTTGAGTTTCTGGTGGCTGCCACTGTGTTTTGTGTGGCCACACCACTCTAACCTTTCTCCAAATTTCCTTCCCTGTCTTAGAAAGTCACTTTAATATGTGCAGGGCACACCATATAATCCAGGAAAAATCTCCCACCTTCAAATTCCTTGTCACATCTGCAGTCCTTTTTACCTAATCAGTAACAGTCATGGGTCCCAGGGATACATAGGTGTCTTTAGGGGCACTGTGCTGCTTATTACATAGGCCTCAGAGAGCACACTCCTTCTAAAGAGGTCATTGCAGATCGGCATTAACGTTACATCGGTTGTCCTAAAGAAAGGAGATCCTCCTCTTACTTTCTGGTTTTCAAACCCCATGAGGCCTATTTACAGTATTATTATTATTATTATTATTATTAATCTTGAGACAGGGCCTTGCTATGCAGTTCAAGCTGGTCTTAAGCTCATTTTGTAGCCCAGGCTGGCCTCA